GCCCGGCCTGCACCCTCTCCAATCCGGGACCCACAGGGGATGTCTGATTGTCTCTCGCAATCTGGGACCACTAGCTCCTAACCGCTAGCCTGCCTTGCCTGCCTGCCTGATCGCCCCTAATCACCTCTGTCTGCCTGATCACCCCTAACCACCTCTGCCTGCTTGCCTGATTGCCCCTAACTGCTACCCTACCGCCTCTGCCTCACCCCACACCCGGGACCCAGGATTCCCTCCTCCGGCCAATGGCAGGCACCTGGGACCTGGGCTTCCCACCCTCTGGCCAGCTGCAGTCACCCAGGACCCAAGCCGGCTTCACCCAGGCCGGCCGCAGCAGCAGGTGACCGTGGATGGGCGGCTTTGCCTAGGCTGCAGCCGCAGGCACCCGGGACTGCAGGGTGGGCGGCTTGTCCCTCTTCCTGGCCACAGCCGCAGACGCAGCAGCTGCCGCCTGGGACCATGGGACAAGTGGCTTGTCCCTCTCCCAGGACACAGGCTGGCTGGTCCCCATTCCTCTCTCGCGAGGTCATGTGTGCCTGGCTGATCCCCAGTCCTTTCTCCCCAGTGTTGAGTGTCTGAGCAGTTCCGGTGCAAGGGCGTGAGGGTGTGATGGCCATTTGCATATTAGCTCTTTATCAAATAGGATAATTTTTTTTTAAATATATTTTATTGATTTTTTACAGAGAGAGGAAGGGAGAGAGAGAGTTAGAAACATCGATGAGTGAGAAACATCAATCAGCTGCCTCCTGCACATCTCCCACTGGGGATGTGCCCGCAACCCAGGTACATGCCCCTGACCGGAATCGACCCTGGGACCCTTCACCGCCAGCCGCGACATCTCCCACTGGGGATGTGCCCGCAACCCAGGTACATGCCCCTGACCGGAATCGAACCTGGGACCCTTCAGTCCGCAAGCCGACGCTCTATCCACTGAGCCAAACCGGTTTCGGCCAAATAGGATAATTTTTACACAACACTGATTAGTTCACATATACTTAAATCACTTGGGGGTTGTACTCTCTAGCTCTTTTCTCATAAAACATTTTAGAAGAAATACATAGTTTCCATGATCTCTAACACTGATGCCAAGTCATGTTTCCTGGAAAATTATTTTTTTTAACGTAAGCAATTCTGACTGTCTAGATACGTGTGACAGTTTCTAATATCCAATTCCTGTACAAAACACCTTACTAACCCCCACATCACACATGGTCACTTTAAAATTACCCTGTTAATATTCATACACTAATTCTGGTTCTCCAAATAATCAGCACTGAAGAAGTCAAGATCATACTTACTGACAACTCTACTGTGTCCTGCACCCATGTCTTCACCAATCACTCTGTTACTGCTGCTTGGTGGTTTACACACATACTCCTATATGGGCATCTGAGTTGAGTATGGGAGTTAATCACTGCCTTTCTCTAATATGCTCAGACAAGTCGATCCAATAGACATTTCACACTACTGAAGTTTCACATGAAATCAATTCTTGATGTTGAATTGTACAAGTCAAGAAAAGTTAACTGAAATCCATTCTATAGTCACAATGGTATATTTTATATCATTCTTTATCCTCTCCAACTGTTCAAACTCTCTATTTTCCTGATGAGGAAATAAGCACTGCACAGGGGCTATCACAATAGGGCCAGTGTAGCCAACTAGTGGTAGTCATTGCTGTAGTCTAGTAGCAGCATGGGTTCTGGAACCAAACAACAGAGGGTTCTCCTTATTCTGCCACTTGCTAGCTCTATGTCCCCAAGAGAGTTACCTATCCTCTCTGTACATGTTTCCTGTTAACTGGGGA